GACCGCAACACCTGGAAGGTTGTCCCTGCATCACTCGCACAAGACAGACCCATTGTCTCCGGAAAATGGGTATTCCGGATCAAAGCCAACTCCGACGGAACCATCAATCGATTTAAAGCTCGATGGGTCGTCCGCGGATTCGACCAAGAGTATGGTCGCGACTTCACTGAAACTTTTGCACCACTCAGTCGACATACTTCCCTGCGTATACTCCTTGCCATCGCCGCCTCACGTCGCCGCCCACTCCGACAAATCGACGTCGCCAACGCTTTTCTGTACGCCCCAGTCGACGCTGAAATCTTCGTCGAACAGCCCCACAGGTTCGTTGACGACCCTTCCCTTGTCTGCCAACTACTTAAATCACTATACGGAATTAAGCAGGCACCGCAACTCTGGCAGCAGTACCTGCACGCACGACTTTAACGCATCGGATTCAACCAACTGCCCCATGACCAGGGCATGTATCGCCTCACTCACGACAACGACTACGTCCTGCTAATCGTCTACGTCGACGATTTACTTTACATCGGGTCAACTACCACCATCGTCACTTGGTTCGAAAAGGAGCTTCAGACAGATCTCTCTCTCACAGTCTCACCCAACGTCACGCAGTACCTAGGGCTCAACATTCTCGACGAAGACAACGCCATTCATCTCAGCGCCTCAAAATACGCAAGCACTATCGCCGAACGCTTCTGCTTCACACCGACGCACGTCGCAACACCCTACAGTCACTTATCGCCCGACCCAACTGAAGAAACCAACCTACTGCCGTCTGCCAAAATCCAGGAATATCAACAGAAACTGGGCTGCCTACTCTTTGCCGCCGTTACGTGCCGACCGGACTTATCCTACAGCGCCAGCCAGCTAGCGACCTACCTCAAGCGCCCAGAACAACGTCACCTCAAGGAACTCAACCGTGCCCTTCTCTACTTCATCTCGACGCCAACAGTTGGCTTAACGTATCACAAGAGCACGACGACCGACCTAAAACTACTCGGCTACGTCGACGCTGATCACGCTGCTGATCGTGTCGATCGTCTCTCTCGCACCGGCTACATTTACCGTCTCGAGCCCGTCGGAACTATCTCCTGGCAATCAAGTAAGCAGGAACTTGTCGCACTATCATATGCTGAAGCAGAGTATATTGCTCTCTGCACCGCTACCAAGGAAGGTCTGTACCTGCGCGAATTGCTGGAAGAAGCGAAGATTGCGAAAGTACCCAGCTTCTCGCTTTTCTGCGACAACCAGTCCGCGATACGGATCGCGAACAAGAATGACTTCGCCAACAGAACCAAGCATATCGCACTGCGATACTTCTTCGTGAAAGACGAAATTGAGAAGGGAAAACTCCAGCTGGACTACTGCCCGACCACCGAGATGGCAGCAGATTATCTCATCAAGAAGCTACCAAAGGGGAAATTCGAGTACTGCATGCTGCTCACCGGATTGGGCCACGTCACCGAAGCTGACCACGTCGACACTCCAGAAAGGAAGGGGAGTGTTGGGAATATAAACGCATGACTTAGTGCGTTTCTGTAGTATCGAACCTCACCCGATACTGAAGCACAACAAAAGGGGTATGAAGTCGAAAAAGGCGCGTACCACATCAAACCGCAACTGGAGGTTGCGAGCTGTAACCGCCTGGAGGTTACGTAACAGCAAGCGACGCTTCAGTGAACAGTAACCACCTCGATAGTCGAAGCGTTACGCGTCTCGATAAACATAACCGCTTCCTGTAATCTATCTTTCCTATATATTCCTGTATGCTCTTTGCTTTAATCAATTACTTGTTCTCACATACCAGCACAAGTACATTCACTCAAAGGACTTCTGCTGTGCTACTCTAGCACCTACTAGCCTATTCTCTGCAAAGATCCTAAGGCTGAAATCCTCAGCCCAACAAAATTAGTGGTTTTTTTTACCCTTTCAAAAACAGTGAAGTAGTTTCCTTTCCCTGACTAAGAAGTGTCACACAAGGGTTATAGTAGCAGCGATCCGAAGAAGCCCTTATAGCCCAGGTAGACATCCTGCACGAATCATTGTTCGAACCTGCAACCTTACCATTCGGAGGAAATCATGTAACTAAGTCATTTACTGACGTTTCATGTATTACAAATACCAAACATGCAATGTTCCTTTGATTCAGTCAGGGTACTTTTTTTTTTAGCCTGTATTTGCCAGCGTATCAGAATTTTTACCCTAGGCCATCAGGGTGGGACAGGCTGAGACCGACATTAGGCAAGGTGGCCTAAAACCAATTTTGGGCCCTGTCCACCAGCTAGCCTCCATCCTGCCCACTTTTGATGATCACATCTTCTGTCTAGATTTTCCAAAGCAGTGCCCTTTTTTCAAAGCACAGATCTAAGTGCTAAGTGGAGGCAAAATCACATCTTTCCATGCAACTTGCTACAATCAAGCAGAGCAATGCTGTCTCCATTCCAAACATGTGTCTAGATTACCCTTCTCACAAATCAACATTCGCCATCACGCCACTGTGCAAGCAAAGTGCACATACGGTATAAATGTGCCCTCTCGCATCCCCGCGCTACGGGTAATGCAGGGTGAGATGTACGGGTAGGTATATTTCTAGTGCACCCCAGAGCATGCCGTGCTATGCCACAGCTTGGAGTTTCTTCAGCTTCTTAACACCAGAACACCATCATCATTGTCAATACTCATCTCCAACGTCCTCCTCTTCCCTGCTCCTTCACCTTCCACACCTCCTCCTCCTCCTGCTGCAGCATCTGGTGCTGTTATGCCCTCCACTGCAGCAGCGCCAACAGTAGTGGCGGTGGCAACAGCCTCATGCTCTGCCACGAGTTGGTGAATGCGCTTGAACTGCCACAGCCATGCCACGGGCATGCCACGTTTGAGTCGAATCAACTGCCACGGCCATGCCACGTTGTACAGCAACTGTCGCAGATCAAACCGGTTGTCCTTTGGTGAATAGTTCTGAATAGGGGGAGGCCGAGCACGTGAGCCGGGGAGCAGGGTAGTGGGGGAGGGGAGAGTGGGACCACCACTCGTTGTACAGGATCTGCCTCAGATCAAAGCGGTTGTCCTTCGGGGAGTATTTCTGCCAAAGAGGTGGTGGGGGTGGGAGGGGGTGGTAGGAAGGGGAAAGGCAAGGAAGGTGGTGACTGTGGCCATGGCTCGCTGTACAAAGCAGTTGTTCTGAAAGTTCTAGAAGTGGAAAGGGAGAAGCGATGAGTGTGGGATTACAGGGGTGGAGGAGCAAGGAAGGTGGGGAGTGGGACAGCCACATGTTGCATGGGAACTGCCATGCTGCATGGGAACTGCCACAGGTCAATCCAGTTGTCCTCAGGAGAGTGGGTTCTGAGGAAAGCCGACAAGGGAGAAGATATATGGAGGGCGGAGGCAAGGAAGGCGGGGAGTGTGGGCATGACATGTTGCATGCACAGCGACTGTCGTAGGTCAATGGATTTATGCAGCGATCACTCCAGGGGGAGAAGTTATACACGTAGTGGTGGGAGGCGGGGAGAGCAATACGCCAATCTGTTGCCGATGATTAATGAAAGAGGAGGAGGTGAGGTTTCAGCGTGGATGTTGCCTTACGGGAGATGCATTGTGAAGGTGGATAGGAGGATGGCAGTGGAAAAGGAGATGCCCCTTAGGGAACAAGGAATTGAGAGCTGAGGGTACGGGGGATGAGGGAGTGAGGGAGCACCTGGGCATGGTAGGAGTGCGCGAGAAAGTGAGCGTGTTGACAGAGTGTGGGGTTTCCTCGGCATGGTAAGAGGGCGTGAGGGTGGTCATCTCGTGGCGATTGATGGAGTAGAAGCGGAAGATGCTTCGTCATACAAGAACAAGAGATTCAGGGTTACGGTAGGAAGGGAAGACGATGGTTACCTGGGCATGCTAGATAAGAGCGAGAAAACGGGTAGGTGAGTGAGTAGTCACCTCAGCGCGGTAGGAAGGCGTGAGCGTACTGCTGCAGTCGTACTGGTGGGACGAGAGGTGGGGGATGGGGCTAGGATAGGAATGAATGGATGGGAGATTAGGAGTGTTGTTGAGTTGAGGCGAAGTCAAGGTGGACTGCCGTAACGCAGCAAGCGAGGGAGGTCCGTCTTGCAAATGCCGCCAATGGGACTGATGTCAGCGCTGATGCAGTCGTATTGATGGGAGGAGGGGTGCGGCCGTGGGGGGGGAGCGGGGGGGGAGGGGGGGGAGCAGTGGTTGGATGAAGGGATGGGAGCGGGAGAGTTGAGGCGAAGGTGAGGTAGAGTGGTGTCCAACACAGCAAGCGAGGAACCTTAGTTACGCCTTGCTGATTCCGCCCATGGGGTTGATGTCGGAATTGCTGCAGTCGTACTAGTGGGATGGGAACAGAGGGAGGAGACAATGGTTTTAGGGGGGGTTGGTGGCTCGTGCCTTCCAACAAGTGCCGCGTGCGAATAGCAGCATGGTGATTCCACCATGGAAGACGGGAGGTCGTCTCAGGGCATCCTCCGCATTGGCAGTGCCTAGCTTTAATTCATCTGGTAACAAGCAATGCAAACCGCTAACCTTACCCTGGTGAGTGAGACGGCCATGGCACAAGCATACGCACCTTAGTGAGGTCCCATCTCATAGCCTCGTCCCCATCGGCACTGCCCAGCACGAGCGGTCGAATTGGTGGATCAGGGACGGTGACTGTGATATGCCGTGCATGCTCTCTCTAGATTCACGTGTTAGTGAATGCCCCCCATCATCTCACCTTGGTGAAGTACCCTCCCAGAGTCTCATCCACGTTGGCACTGCCCAGCACGAGTAGGTGAAAGACAGACCTGTGCGGACGGGCAGCACTCCCTTTACTCAATCGCACCATACGATCAATGCACAACCACCATGCTCCCCCTCACCTTTGTGAGGTACCCTCGCAGGGCCTCGTCCACATTGGCACTGCCCAGCACGCAATGCTCCGTCTATACTGCTTCACCTTCTTGAGCCATAAATCAGACATGCTCCATCCAAACACACCTTAGTGAGGTACCCTCTTAGCCCCTCGTCCACATTGGCTCTGCCCAGCACGAGCAGAAAGCCCCCTCCGCCCCCCGCTGCCTCGACCCGCCTCCCCTCCCCTTGCCCCGCTCCAACACCCCTTCCGTCGGCACCTTCTCTTCTCCCCCTCCCCCTCCTCCTCCCTCCCCATCCCTTTGCTGTCCATCATCAGTGCTCTCCTTCCGCCTCTCATCCTTTCCCTTCTCCCCCCCCTTGTCCTGCGGCTGCTCCCCCCCTCCCCCCTTGTCTACGCACCCAGGACAGCAGCTGGGCGAAGAGAAAGGCGAGCACCATGCGCAGCCGCACTTGGATGTTTTGTAATGCAAGGTTTTCAGCTGACTTGCCTCCATTCAGCTGATTGAAGGGAGTGGGGGTGAAGAGAAGGAGAGAGCAGCGAGAAAGGGGAGGCGGATGGGCATGTCAAGGCAAGGAGAGGAGAAGAGGAAGGCGAGCACCATCCGCAGCCGGACCTGAATGTTCTGCAGGGCGAGATTTTCTGCTGTTATGCTGCCGTCCACCTGATGGGGGGGGGAGGGCGGGGTGGGGTGGGAGGGAGAAGCGGAAGGGAGAAGCAGTAGGAAGAATGCAGGGGAAGAAGAGGGGGAAAATAGGCATGCCCATGCCATGCGTCTTACACACTTTTTACCACCCCCTTTTTCACTCCTCTACCACCCACCTTGTAGCGTGGGCGTAGGCCGGTGACAGTGAGGAAGAGGGCGACCATAGCAGCCACCACGGAGTCAATGCTCATGTCTACGTGCCATGCTCCTATCTCTGATGCCAGCTGCTTCGCTCTTAATCGTGTGTCCTGGGAGCTGTATGCGAGAGGGTGAGAAAGGAGAGATGGGGATGAGAAGAGGACTACGCCAACAGTGACTACAAAGTCGATGCTTGTGTCTAAATGCCAAGCTCCTATTGCCGCGGGTAGGTGCTTTGCATGTGATCGCGTGGCCTAGGAGCTGTGTGTGTGAGGGGGTGAGGGGGAGGAAAGGGGGACACAGTCATAATAGTAGCGACTAGGGAGTCTATGCTCGTGTTTAAATGCCATGCTCCTATCTCCGATGCTAGCTGTTTTGCTCGTGCCCTTGTTGCACTGGAGCTGTGTGTGTGGGGGGGTCGGGGCGAGGGGGAGAAGAGGGATACAGAACAGATAGGTGCCATGCTTCTATCCTATCTCTGAGGCTAGCTACTTTGCTTGTAATCGTGTGGCTTGGGAGCTGTGTGCATACGTGAGGGCATCGAGGAGAGATAGGTGGGAGGTGAGAGGAAGGGGAACAGAGGGATCGGGAAAAGGGGAAGCACAAAAGGATATTCGGCACCCATAGAGAAGGTACTGACCTGCTCATGGTGTCCAAATAACGATTGCCCGAGGATACATTTAGAGGTTATTAAAATCCTATTTTCTTATTCGATAGGTGTGGAACCAATGGGAATATAATGGGTGCCGTTTAGGCACTAGACTTTAGTCAGTGAACATGCAAATGGTGTTCACGAGAGCACAGGATTAGATAGGAAGGTAGGTAGGTAGGTAGGTAGGTAGGTAGGTAGGTAGCAACAAACATGTTCTCCATACCCATGTAGATGGTGTGCAGGATGCGGTCAGCCAGCCTGGCTGGCAGCATGCCAAGTTTTGAGGCGCCTCACAAGTAAAAAAAAAATAGGCGCAGAACATCTACAAGCGAACCTATTCTCTGTGCCCATGTAGATGGTGTGCAAAATACGGTCTGCCAGCCTGGCAGCGTGCTGCTTCTGCTCCTCTGCAGTCTCCCCTGCCACCAGCTATAGCCTCGTGATTTGCTTTGCGTCCTGCCGCACCTGCTCGTTGCCCTCCGCAATTGCTGTGAGCAGGTAACGTAGGGCTGAGAGAAGGGACGGGCGTGAATATGAATGGCAGCCATGGAGGGGCTGTCGGCAGCAAGGAAGCATAGTATTCCGTAGCACCTTGTAGCACCCCACAGCATCACATACCACCGTATCACATCTATAGCAACCAGCTGGCACATGCAGCCCACAATAACGGCCACATATGAATTGGCATCGCCAGACAGCGGTGGTAGGAAGCTCAAGGCTCCGATGCGACACAGATTTTCCCACAGCAAGCACGCCATAGCACCTCACAGCATCACCTTGCACCGCATTATGCCCCATTGCACCCCATAGCACTGCATCACACCTTTAGCAACCAGCTGGCACATGCAGCCCTCAAAGGCAGCCACGGATGAGCTGTCAGCACCGCTCGACAATGGCAGCAGGAAGCCCGAGGCTCTACTGCGCCGCAGGTAGTCCCACAGCCAGCACGCCATAGCACCTCACAGCATCACCTTGCACCGCATTACATCAAACAGCACCACTCCACAGCTTTAGCAACCAGCTGGCACATGCACCCAACAATAGCGGCCACGGATGAGCTGTCAGCACCGCACGACTTAGCCTTGAGAAGGTACACCCACACCGCTTGCATGTGGTCATCCACGATGGTCAAGAAGTAGCGGCTGCCCGAGAGAGAAGGGGCCCTCATGGGGCCCACCACGTCCATGTGCACAAGCGCAATGGGGTCTTGGCTGGTCCTATGATGCCTGAAGGGAAATTTTGTGAACTTGGTCTCAAGACACGTAGGGCAGCTCCCAATCTCCTTTGCTGCCCCCTTCACCTCCAGCCCCTTCAAGCTCCCATCCTTCACCAACTTTTGCAGGAAAGGAATGTTGATGTGACACAGCCTCTCATGCCGCTTCTCCCAATCGGCCTCACCACTCCCAGATGAAGCCTTTACCTATGCAGCTGTCACATCCACACCAGCAAACACCTCACCATGTGGTTGCTGTGGCTGCTGCACCTTCTTGACTTCATCCAGGGCCCCATCAGTTGGTGCAGTCTCCTCTCTTCCCGCAGTTGCTTTAGCCGTTGCTGCTGCCCTGCCACTTCTGCGCTGAGCCGCCTCATGCTACCGTACCCCTCCCCTCACCTTACTGCCTTTCCCAGAGTCGCTGACCTCATTACGCACCTCCGCACTGGTGACACACGCTACCGCGCTGCGCTTCCTGCTGAGTTCTGTGCTAAGAACCCCCCCCCCCATGTACATCACCCTCTACTACATAGTCACCCGGCTCCCTGACTCCCTTGGCTTAGTCAGGGACCATTTCCTCTCAGTTTACCCCACCACACTCACCGTTGACCTCCTCGAGGAGCGCCTCCTAGCAGCATAGAAGAGCATAGTCGCTGTAGGAGCCTCTCGTGGTGACCCTCGCACCCCCGTCTTTGAGGGGTGTTCCCCTTCCCCCCTCTTGCCCTCTGATGCTTCTGCTGCTGCGGCCGACCTCGTTGGTTTCGAGTCTGTCGGCGCTGCGTATGCCCCTAGCGGGAGACGCCGCACCGGTAAGGGCAAGGGGAGCAAGGGCGCTGGAGGGGCTGGCGGGGGCGAAGGAGGTGGTGGTCGAGGCAGTGGAGGGGGTGGGGGTGGTGGTGGGAGTGGTGGCGAGGGTGGAGGTGTTGGTGGCAGCAGTGGAGGCGGAGGAGGCGGCGGCGGTGGCGGAGGGAGCGGAGGCGGCGGAGGTGGCGGAGGCGGCGGAGGTGGCAGAGGCGGCGGAGGTGGCGGAGGCGGCGGCGGCAGCAGTGGAGCTGGTCGCGGCCCTGCGCAGAGGAGTGGGTCCGGTGGTGGTCAACGCCACCAGCACCAGCGCATGCGTAAGACCCTGTCCCCTCAGCAGCTTCGTGAGTGGTACGCTGCGCGTCAGCGCGGTGGGGGTACTGGCCCCGGCACGTACGTCCTCCGTACCGGCGACCGTGCTGGTGAGCAGTGCAGGGGCCCGCACTCCACTTAGCGCAACTTCGGCCGCCTGACAGACGCGTGGCGTCACCAGTTTCCTGAGGCCTCTGAGATCCCTCGCTGTGGAGAGCTGTCAAAGGCGGGGGTTGCTATCTTTGATCTTGATTATGATGCTATTCTTGCTGCCATATATGCTGTGTCTGATAGTGTTGAGGGTGACTATTACCTGTGTGTTCTGCCTGACCCGGGCATTGAGGCTGCTGCTCTAGGTGCTGGTGAGGCTTCTGCTCTAGGTGCTAGTGCGTGTGCTGCCCCAGGTGCTGGTGAGTCTGCTCTCTCAGGTACTACGTCGGCTCAGGCCTTACACACCTTCACCCTTGACTCGGGTGCTTCCCGCTCCTTCTTTCGAGACCGCACCACGCTTACGCCGCTTAGTCGGCCGGTTGCAGTCTCCCTGGCGGACCCTTCTGGGGGTCCTGTCCTTGCTAGCTTCTCCACTGTCTTACTGTGCCCGGCAGCCCCCTCTGGCACCCTGTCAGGTCTCTACCTCCCCTCGTTCTCTACGAACTTGGTGAGTGGAGCTGGTCTAGAGGATAGGGGGGTTGACCAGTTCACTCATGCGAGTCAGCGGGTGACCCACTGGACATGTGCTTGGACAGGCCGACACTTGGCCACGTACACGCGTCGGCCGGGGTCGAGCGTGTACACACTTACTACTGAGTCTCCTCCGGCTGCTGAGTCTGGTCAGGTGGTTGCGTCGAGTCAGGTGTTTGCTGCAGCGTCCACGTCTGGTCTTGAGTCGGATCCCTGCTCGTGTCGTCTCCTGTCCCACCAGACTCTCCTCTGGCACCACCGCTTTGGTCACCCCTCCCTGCCTCGTCTTCGAGGCATGGCCTCCCGTGTCCTTGTCTTTGGTCTCCCCCGGTCTCTCCCTCCCCTCCCTCCGCGGCCTGCCCCTACCTGCGTTTCTTGCGTCGAGGGGCGACAGCGCGCCGCCCCTCACTCCTCCGAGTTTCTTCCGACAGAGGATCCACTGCAGACTCTTCACATGGACGTGTGGGGCCCCGCCCGCGTCCGTTGCCAGGGGCACGAGCGTTACTTCCTGTTGGTGGTTGACGACTACTCGCGTTACACTAGAGTCTTCCCCTTGCGCAGAAAGGGTGACGTCACTGAGGTGTTGATCGACTGGATCTGCGCAGCTCGTCTCCAGCTCAGAGAGAGTTTCGGCTCTGACTTTCCTTTTCTGCGTCAGCACTCTAACAGAGGCGAGGAGTTTTCCTCTGCCCGTCTGGGAGCCTTCTGTCGTGCACAGGGCATCCGCCAGACATTCACGCTTCCTGCCTCTCCGCAGCAAAATGGGATTGCTGAGTGCCGCATTGGCATGGTCATGGACGTCGCTCGTACGTCCATGATCCATGCGGCTGCCTCCATTTTCTGTGGCCGTTTGCGGTTCAGTACGCAGCGCATCAGCTCAACCATCAGCCCCGGGTCTCCTTGCCAGAGACCTCCCCCACCTTGCAGTGGACGGGGAAGGTTGGCGATGCGTGTGCGTTTCGGGTCTGGGGATCTCGGGCGTTTGTCCGCGACTTGTCTGCGGACAAGTTGTCCCCCCGTGCTGTTCCCTGCGTCTTCCTTGGCTTCCCCCCTCAAGCGTTTGGGTGGCAGTTTTACCACCCCACCTTGCGCCGTGTTCTGTCCTCCTAGGACGTCACCTTTGACGAGTCGGTGCCTTACTACCATCTCTTCCCCTACCGCACTGCGCCCCTCCCCCCGCCGACGCTCTTCCTTGCGCCAGGTCCTCCTCCGGTAGACCCCCTCCCCCCTTAGGGTCGTGCCCCGTCAGGTGTGTCCCAGGTAGACTCACTCGAACCTGTCAAGGTAGCTGTTGACTCTGGTGCTGCTAGAGATGCTGAGCCTGCGGGTGTCGGGTCTCGAGGTTCTGAGCCTGAGGGTGCGGAGCCTAGGGGTGCTGAGTCCAGGGGTGCGGAGCCTGGGGGTGTTGAGCCTCGGGGTGCTGAGCCTTGGGGTGTTGAGCTTGCGGGTGCTGAGTCTGGGGATGCTGAGCCTGGGGGTGCTGAGCCTAGGGGTGCGGAGCCTGGGGGTGCTAGGTTTGCTCGTGTGGCCGCTCGCGGTGCTTCGTCGAGGCGGGAGCCACTCTCTCCGCAGGAGCTGCGCGAGTGGTTTGCCCGGCGCTGGAGCCGTGCTGCTGGAGCTGGAGGTACTCGTACTGGCAGTGCTGGTGCTGCTGGGGCTGCTGGAGTTCGTCCTGCTGGAGGTACGGCTGGAGCTGCTGGCGGTACTGGAGTTGCCGGTCATGTTGGAGGTGGAGCTGCAGGAGCTGGAGGTGCTGGGGGTGTTGGCGCTGGTGGTTCTGCTGGCGCTTTTGTGTCTCAGGGTGCTGGAGTTGGCGCTGCTGGAGCTGGAGGTATTACTGGCGCTGGTGCTGCCGCTGGGAGTTCTGGTGCTGTCCCTGCTGGGTCTAGAGGCAGCTGCTGTACTTCGTTCCGCTCCTTGAGCAGGTTCTTTGTCTCCCACCCTCTACCGGTCCTGCTCCTCCCTTAGAGTGTCCACAGCCTGTCCAGTCGCAGTCACAGTTACAGCCTGCCTCCCCCCTACCTGCTCCTTCTCCCTACACTCGTCCTACTAGAGGTCTTGCTGAGCGTCGTGAGCCTGCGTCTCGTCCTGCGTCGCCTGTTCGTGCTGCTCGCACTAGTAGTCGTGCTCTTCGTCAGCGTCCTCCTGCGGTCCTAGGCACACACCAGATGGCACTGCGTCCTTCCACTGCTCCTCTGCGTATCACGTTGCCGTCTCCTCCATAGTCCTCTCTTCCTATTCTTGCAGACCCGCAGTCTGACTCTCTTCGTGCTGCCAGTCCTACTGTCACGCGTCTCTTGGCCACTGTTGTCACTGACCCTTCCTTTCCGTCCACTGCTGCGTCTGCCTTGGTTGCTAAGCTTGTCGACTTTGCTGCTCGTTATCGTCTAGACTACGCTGCTAGTCTTGTTGCTGAGTCTGAGTCTGTCTGTCATCCGTCCGTCGGGGGTGAGTGTGCTCTTAGCACAGACATCCTTGAGGACAGGCAGGAGGAGTTCCAGTGTTTTGCTGCTGCTTTGCCTCATCTCATGTCCACGCTGATTGCCCCTGAGGGAGACCCGGATGCACTAGACATCCCGACTCCTCGATTGTACGCTAAGGCGATCGAAGGTCCCTACTCCTCACAGTGGCAGTCAGCCATGGACACAGAGATGGCTTCCTGGAAGTCAAGAGGAACCTACGTCGGCGAGGTTCCCCCACCTAGGGCGAACATCGTCGGTGGCATATGGATTTTCAGGGTGAAGCGGCCGCCGGACTCTCCGCCTGTCTTCAAGGCGCGTTACATGGCTCAAGGCTTCAGTCAGCGGCGGGGAGTTGACTACTTCCAGACCTTCTCTCCCACCCCGAAGATGACCACTCTTCGGGTGCTGCTGCAGAAAGCCGCTCGGCGTGACTACGACCTTCACTCTCTTGACTTCAGCACAGCTTTCCTGCAGGGCAGCCTCT